CACACACACACACACATATATATATATATATATATATATATATATATATATATATATATATGACGACAAAGTTTAAACGAAAATCAATTTTAGGCACGTAACGAGGCCTTATTTACATGCTGGAGGAGGGAGTGTGGTGGTGCCTACAGACTACAGGACAATCATATGTACATTTGAAACAGTGTATGGAGTCAGCCTCCACCATATCACTGCCTAATGCATTTCATTTGTTAACTACTCTCACACTGAAAACGTTCTTTCTAATGTCTCTGTGGCTCATTTGGGTTCTCAGTTTCCACCTGTGTTCCCTTGTTCGTGTGCCCCCTGTGTTAAACTGTCTTTATCTACCCTATCAATTCCCTAAGAATTTTGCATGTGGTAATCATGTCTCCCTTAAATCTTGTGTCTCCCAGCGACGTGAGGTTTAATTCCCGTAGTCTTACCTCATAGCTCATACCCCTCAGCCCTGGTACTAGTGTGGTGGCATATCTTTGGAACTTGTCCAACTTAGTCTTGTGCTTTACGAGATACGGACTCCACGCAAGAGCTGCATACTCCAGGACTGGTCTGACATGTGGTATACGAATTTCTAAATGATTCATTATGCAAATTTCTAAATGCAGTTCTTATGTTGGCCAACCTGGCACATGCCGCTGTTGATATTCTTTTGATGTGGGCTTCAGGGGATATGTCTGTTTATCAGCCTCTTTTGGGGTACTGTGTTAAAGCCTTTCTGATAGTCCAAGAAAATGCAGTCCACCCACCCTTCTCTTTCTTGCTTAATCTTTGTCACCTGATCGTAGAATTCTATTATTCTGAGGCAAGATTTACCATCCATGAACCCATGTTGGTGGGTTGTCACGAAGTCCCTTCTATACAGATGTGCTACAAGGTTTTCCTCACGATCTTCTCCATCACCTTGTATGATATACAAGTTAGGGAAACCGGCCTGTAGTTCAGTGCCTCTTGCTTGTCACCATTTTTGTATATTGGGACTATATTAGCTGTCTTCCATGTTTCTGGTAGGTCTCCCGTCTCCAGTGACCTGTTATACACCATAGAGTGGCAAGCAAAGTGCTTCTGCACACTCTTTTAGTATCCATGGAGAGATCACGTCCAGATCCAACAGATATCTCCTAACTTCATCTTTGGTAATTTCGAACCCTTCTAAAGTTTCCTGGTTTGTTGCCACCTTTTTTAGTTCATGGACCTTTCCTTGTTCTATTGTGAAGACCTCCAGCAACTTCTTGTTGAGTTCTTCACACACACCTCCCTGTCATTCTCTGTGTACCTCTCCTCACCCGTTCTTAGTTTCATCATCTGTTCATTCAATGTTGATTTCCTCCTGATGAGACTGTGGAGCAGTTTTGGCTCGGTCTTGCCTTTATTTGCTTAATCAATTTCATACTGTCTCTCTCTCTGCTTCTCTTCTCACACTGAGGTATTCACTCCTGGCCTCTCCCTCTCCCCCTGGCTGTGTGTGTACTCACCTAGTTCTACTCAGTTGTTCTCACCTAATTGTATTCACCTAGTTGCGCTTGCGAGGGTTCATGCACATCTCCTGTGCCAGGTAGGTCAACTACGGGTTCACCATAGCCCGTGCTACTTGGAACTTTTTGTTACCAGTAACCGAATCTAATACAACAACAACATTGCAGGGGTTGGGCTCTGGCTCTTTGGTCCCGCCTCTCAACCGTCAATCAACAGGTGTGCAGGTTCCTGAGCCTATTGGGCTCTATCATATCTACACTTGAAACTGTGTATGGAGTCAGCCTCCACCACATCACTGCCTAATGCATTCCACCTGTTAACTACTATGACACTGAAAAAGTTCCTTCTAATGTCCCTGTGGCTCATGTGGGTAATCAGTTTCCACCTGTGTCCCCTTGTTCGTGTCCCACCCGTGTTGAATAGTTTATCCTTGTTTACCCGGTCGATGTGTGTGTGTGCGTGTGCGCGCGCGTGCGGGTCCTGAGAACTCATCTACCATACTGAAGGACTAACACCACGTGTCTTGAGAACAGATCATTCCCCCCCCCCCCTCCCTTGTATACAGGACTAATATTATAAGTCCTAAGAACAAAGGCAGTGAACTCACTCCTTCAGTAATATCCAATTAAAATTGAAATGCTTGTTCAGTGATGGCAGGAGAGAGATAACTTGAGGCTGCACAACAGGTTAAGACATCAGAGTAAGAGAGAGTCACCACTGACCACACACACACACACACCTCACCTCCTCTAATGACAAGGGTTGTGTAGGCACCTTCCCTCACCTGCTCTCTCACACACACACACACACACACACACACACACACACACACACACACACACACACACACACACACACACACACACATCTTTAAATACTAGTAAAATGTATAAATCTTAAATGCTTTTAACATGAAAACTTGTAAGTCATTTAATAATGGCAATTTTTTTTCTTTGAGATGTTGTGTAAAGATCCTAGCCTTGGCTCCCTGCTGGGTCTGGAGCCTCCAGGATGGTCGTAAGTTATGAGAAAACTTACCTTAATAACTTTATTTTCTCACCTTTCTTTTATAAATATTATGTTAATGATCTCTTTGTAACTTTAAAATTGAACTGAACACATTTCTCTGTTTTTTAGATTACCTGATCAACAAACCTGATCAACAAGTCATCCTCAAACTCACTCCACACATTAACATTTTTCCATTGTTGATATCCATAACTAATTGTAATATTCAGTGATAACTAAAACTATATTTTTTAAAAATTCCGGTTTATGGGACTACATATATCAATTTCTCTTCTGTCTTGTCTGAGGGGTTTATATGGAATTTGATGTGTATATTATTCTATGAATTCCAAACTGAACATGTGCTCAAGAGAGGAGAGGTGCTCTAGAGAGGAGACGTGCTCAAGAGAGGAGGGGACGTGCTCAAGAGAGGAGGGGACGTGCTCAAGAGAGGAGGAGACGTGCTCAAGAGAGGAGGAGGAGACATGCTCAAGAGAGGAGGAGACGTGCTCAAGAGAGGAGACGTGCTCAAGAGAGGAGGAGGAGACGTGCTCAAGAGAGAAGACGTGCTCTAGAGAGGAGGGGACGTGCTCAAGAGAGGAGAAGGCGTGCTCAAGATTGGAGTAGACGTGCTCAAGAGAGGAGGAGGAGACGTGCTCAAGAGAGGAGAAGACGTGCTCAAGAGAGGAGGAGACGTGCTCAATATTATATATATATATATATATATATATATATATATATATATATATATATATATATATATATATATATATATATATATATATATATATATATATATATATATATATATATATATATATATCTTTGGACAACACCCACCAGTGGGACTCGAACCCAGAAAGCACAACCACCTTCCAGTAGCTGGCATAACTAGTATGCTTTAACCCACTACACCATCAGACCTTACAAAAGAAGTAGATAGTTCGAGATATATATCTCAAACATCTCCACTTCCCGAAGGCACCAGATGAGTGAGGGGTCAGTCTGCATTTTTCAAGCCACTGTCAATGTGAGAGAACTCGTGTCCAGCTTATAAGCTGGACACGAGTTCTCTCACATTGACAGTGGCTTGACGGAAAATGCAGACTGACCCCTCACTCATCTGGTGCCTTCGGGAAGTGGAGATGTTTGAGATATATATCTCGAACTATCTACTTCTTTTGTAAGGTCTGATGGTGTAGTGGGTTAAAGCATTCTAGTTATGCCAGCTACTGGAAGGTGGTTGTGCTTTCTGGGTTCGAGTCCCACTGGTGGGTGTTGTCCAAAGATTGTTAATCTTCACTTGTGGTTTATGCAAGTATAGGCTTTATATATATATATATATATATATATATATATATATATATATATATATATATATATATATATATTGAAATCTCACATGCACACTGAGTGCTCCCAAGCACACACCTTAGACCACTTAACCATGACATGCCAGAAAGCATTGAAGCTTAGGATTCCACCGAACCCTCTAAGGATCCTGAGGCTTTCACTGAAGCCAAGTGAGGGTTTCACTCACTGGCCGCGTGCACTCTTGACTCCAGGAGTTCTACGGCCCAAACGTTTCTTCCAGTGCTCAAGAAAATCGCATTAACCTGATTTTTTTACTACTGATTTCACCTAATGGCTCTGTCCACCTAGCAATGAGTAGGTACTCAGGAGTTAGTCAGACCTCCATAAAAGCCAAACGTGTATGAATACACTCTGGCTTCCTGTCCCGACACAATGAATTAATATCTACTATTAATATCAATTTCCTAACGTATATATGTGTGATTTTATCTTTCTACTTATACCTGAGTGTTGTTGACGACTCTTAACTTCGCCGAGACTTGGGGACCTTTGCTCCCTCTACAGTTCATGATCTAGTTGTTCTCTCCCTCTTGTTCCCCGTCTGTTCTCTGTCATAGTGTGTTCTTGTGTGTGACGAAGGTAGTTCTTCATGAACACATGTTCACTCCACTCACCTGGGGGGGAGCCAGGACCCCAGACATTCACCTGGGGGGGGGGGGCAGGACCCCCATCCACTCACCAGGGGGCAGGACCCCATCCACTCACCAGGGGGCAGGACCCCAGACACTCACCAGGGGGCAGGACCCCAGACACTCACCAGGGGGCAGGACCCCAGACACTCACCAGGGGGCAGGACCCCAGACACTCACCAGGGGGAAGGACCCCCAGACACTCACCAGGGGGCAGGACCCCAGACACTCACCAGGGGGAAGGACCCCCAGACACTCACCAGGGGGCAGGACCCCAGACACTCACCAGGGGGAAGGACCCCCAGACACTCGCCTGGGGGCAGGACCCCCAGACACTCACCAGGGGGCAGGACCCCCATCCACTCACCAGGGGGCAGGACCCCAGACACTCACCAGGGGGCAGGACCCCAGACACTCACCAGGGGGGCAGGACCCCATCCACTCACCAGGGGGCAGGACCCCATCCACTCACCAGGGGGCAGGACCCCATCCACTCACCTGGGGGAGGACGCCAGAGACAGGAGCGAGCTGGGGGGGTCCTCTACACATCTCCAGTTCCTCGTAGATGTGGTCGCGGGAGTCCACGACGGCCACGCTGTTCCGCTGTCGCCCCCTGCAGGATGTGAGCGGCCCCAGGGGCGCCCCGGCGTGGACCGACCCCGCTGACCCCATCCCCACACACGCTGGCCTGACCCCACAAGCACCACCGTCAGTAACACGATATCAGCATGAGTTAACAGCATACATATATCAGCATGAGTAACAGCATACATATATGTATCCTGTTATGAGTTATGAGTTAACAGGATAAATATATGTATCCTGTTATGAGTTATGAGTTAACAGGATACATATATGAGCATGAGTTAACAGGATACATATATCAGCATGAGTTAACAGGATACATATATGATCATGAGTCAACAGGATACATATATCAGCATGAGTTAACAGGATACATATATGAACATGAGTAACAGGATAATTCATATACTAGAATGACTAACAGCAAATGAATTACTAAGATGGAACTAGTACACAACCTCTAACTACCACTGGGGGTTATAACTACCACTGGGGGTTATAACTACCACTGGGGGTTATAACTACCACTGTGAATTATAACTACCACTGGGGGTTATAACAACCACTGGGGGTTATAACTACCACTGGGGGTTATAACTACCACTGTGAATTATAACTACCACTGGGGGTTATAAACACTTGGAGTTTAATTATTCAACACCAGGAGGTATTATGCTAGACTTATAGGTTAGTTATAAGACTAATTGTGGCCTTAATGACCCTGGCAGCTAACTGTTCCTAAGCCCTTGACCACTCTGTTCTCCACTACGGGCTCACCATAGCCCGTGCTACTTGGATCTATTAGTTCCAGGTAGCGAATCTTTAACAACAACAACAACTTGACTACTCTGGAGCTGCTACTCCTCTTTTTTGTGGTAAATTTAAGAGTCAAACGATATTTGGCTTTATGAAATGCAACCCGTTCTCGCAAATTCGTAAAGTCAATATTGACTTATTAACTACGTGCATAGGTGATATACTTAATAGATACCCCTAAAAAGATTCATAGAAAACACCGACCTTACCTAACCTTGTTAGTAGGTTAAGATAAGCATCTTATTGCTTCGTAATTACAATTATTACTTAACCTATACCTATTATAGGTTAGGTAATAATTGTAATTACGAAACAATAAGATGCTTATCTTAAGATACTAACAAGGTTAGGTAAGGTCGGTGTTTTCTATGAATTTTTTTAAGGGTATCTATTATGTTAAGTATGTCACCTATGCACATATTTAATAAGTCAATATTGACTTATTAAATTTGCGAGAACGGGTTGATGAAATGATACTTCAGAGTTACAAAGGCTTATGACACGAATTTACCTGATTGAGAATTTATCTTTCGGTTTGTTGGTCTGTTTGTTTGTCCGTGTCTTTATCTTGAGGTTATCTTGAGATGATTTCGGGGCTTTTAGTGTCCCCGCGGCCCGGTCCTCGACCAGGCCGCCTCCACCCCCAGGAAGCAGCCCGTGACAGCTGACTAACAATCAGGTACTTATTTTACTGCTAGGTAACAGGGGCATAGGGTGAAAGAAACTCTGCCCATTGTTTCTCGCTGGCGCCTGGGATCGAACCCGGGATCAGAGGATCACAAGTCCAGTGTGCTGTCCGCATATATATCTGAGTGTCTGTCTCACTCACTCACTCACTCACACACACACACACACACACACACACACACACACACACACACACACACACACACACACACACACACACACACATACACACACACACACACACACACACACACACACATACAGGGGCCTCGCGGCTGAGTGGACAGCGCTCGGGAGTCGTAGTCCTAAGGGAACGGGTTCTATTCCCGGCCGAGGGAGAAACAAATGGGGCAGTTTCTTTCACCCTGATGAGCCTGTTCACCTAACAGTAAAAAGGTACCAGGGAGTTAGACACCTGCTGCGGGCTTCTTCCTGAGGATGTGTGTGTGTGTGTGTACTCACCTATATGTACTCACCTATATGTGCTTGCAGGATCGAGCATTGACTCTTGGATCCCGCCTTTCTAGCTATCGGTTGTTTACAGCAATGACTCCTGTCCCATTTCCCTATCATACCTAGTTTTAAAAGTATGAATAGTATTTGCTTCCACAACCTGTTCCCCAAGTGCATTCCATTTTTCTACTACTCTCACGCTAAAAGAAAACTTCCTAACATCTCTGTGACTCATCTGAGTTTCCAGTTTCCACCCATGTCCCCTCGTTCTGTTATTATTACGTGTGAACATTTCATCTATTTCCACTTTGTCAATTCCCCTGAGTATTTTATATGTCCCTATCATATCTCCTCTCTCCCTTCTTTTCTCTAGTGTCGTAAGGTTCAGTTCCTTCAGCCGCTCTTCATATCCCATCCCTCGTAGCTCTGGGACAAGCCTCGTCGCAAACCTCTGAACCTTCTCCAGTTTCTTTATGTGTTTCTTCAGGTGGGGGCTCCATGATGGCGCGGCATACTCTAAGACGGGTCTCACGTAGGCAGTGTAAAGCGCCCTAAAAGCTTCCTCATTTAGGTTTCTGAATGAAGTTCTAATTTTCGCCAGTGTAGAGTACGCTGCTGTCGTTATCCTATTTATATGTGCCTCAGGAGTTAGATTAGGTGTCACATCCACTCCCAGGTCTCTTTCTCGAATCGTTACAGGTAGGCTGTTTGTGTGTGTGTGAGTGCGTGTTTGTACTGACCTAGTTGTGTTTGCGGGGGTTGAGCTCTGGCTCTTTGGTCCCGCCTCTCAACCGTCAATCAACGGGTGTACAGGTTCCTGAGCCTATTGGGCTCTATCATATCTACACCTGAAACTGTGTATGGAGTCAACCTCCACCACATCACTGCCTAATGCATTCCATTTGTTAACTACTCTGATACTAAAAAAGTTCTTTCTAATATCTCTGTGGCTCATTTGGGCTCTCAGTTTCCACCTGTGTCCCCTTATGCGTGTGCCCCTTGTGTTAAATAGCCTGTCTTTATCTACCCTATCAATTCCTTTGAGAATCTTGAATGTGGTGATCATGTCCCCCCTAACTGTTCTGTCTTCCAACGACATGAGGTTTAATTCCAGTAGTCTCTCCACGTAGCTCATACCTCTCAGCTCGGGTACTAGTCTGGTGGCAAACCATTGAACCTTTTCCAGTTTAGTCTTATCCTTCATTAGATGTGGACTCCATGCTGGGGCTGCATACTCCAGGATTGGTCTGATATATGTTGTATACAAAGTTCTGAATGATTCCTTACACAAGTTTCTGAGTGCCGTTCTTATGTTGGCCAGCCTGGCATATGCCGCTGATGTTATCCTCTTGATATGGGCTGCAGGGGGATAGGTCTGGCGTGATATCAAGCGCCCTACCAGTTACTCCTGCCTGTTTCTCCAGCTTATGCATCAGCCTTTTATGGGGTACTGTGTCAAAGGCATTCCGACATTCCAAAAAAATGCATTCCGCCCATCCTTCTCTTTCTTGCTTAATCTTTGTCACCTGATCGTAGAATTCTATTAAGCTTGTAGGGCAAGATTTACCCTCCCTGAACCCATGTTGATGGGTTGTCACGAAGTCCCTTCTCTCCAGATGTGTTACCAGGTTTTTTTTCACGATCTTCTCCATCACCTTGCATGGTATACAAGTCAAGGACACTGGCCTGTAGTTCAGTGCCTCTTGTCTGTCACCCTTTTTGCATATTGGGACCACATTAGCCGTCTTCCATATTTCTGGTAGGTCTCCCGTCTCCAGTGACCTACTATACACTATGGAGAGTGGCAAGCAAAGTGACTCTGCACACTCTTTCAATACCCATGGCGAGATCCTGTCTGGACCAACAGTCTTTCTAAAATCCAGATCCAACAGGTGTCTCTTGACCTCATCTCTTGTAATTTCGAACCCTTCCAAGGCCGCCTGGTTTACTTCCCCCTCTCCTAGCACAGTGACCTCACCTTGTTCTATAGTGAAGACCTCCTGGAACCTCTTGTTGAGTTCTTCACTCACCTCTTTGTCATTCTCTGTGTACCTATCCTCACCCGTTCTAAGTTTCATTACCTGTTATTTCACTCTTGTTTTCCTCCTGTGTGTGTGTGTGTGTGTGTGTGTGTGTGTGTGTGTGTGTGTGTGTGTGTGTGTGTGTGTGTGTGTGTGTGTGTGTGTGTGTGTGTGTATGTGTATGTTTATGTGTGTTTGAGAGAAATATATGTAGAAGACATAAGAGGAAAAATAGATTAGTTAGAAAGGCGGGGCCCCAAGAGCCAACAGCTCAATTCAGGAGACACAAACAGTAACCAAGACAGGTGAGGGACTTCTCTCACCTCCTAGGTAGGGGTCGTAGAGGCTGTGGGCGGTGGCAGTGTGAGGTAGGAGTAGTGAGCCTCACAGACGACGGAGTCAGTCTGGAGGGCAGGGCGGGGCGCGCTATGGGCGTCGTCCTCTGGGAGGAGGTGGGCGTGGTCCTCTGCGAGAGCGTGGGCGTGGTTCTCTGCGAGGGCGTTACCGTAGGCGTAGATCTCTGAGGTGTGGGCGTAGTTCTAATTGTAGGAGTGGCTATTGGGGTGGTTCTAGTAGTTGAGGCTAGTATGAGACTGGTTCTGGAGTTGGGTGTGGGCGTGGTTCTGACTGTGGGCGTGGTCAGCGAGGTGGTTCTGGTGGTGGGCGTGCAGCGGTGGGCGGAGGTGTGTGGGCGGGCGAGGGGCGGCACAGGGATCACCAACACTGTAGGAGAGAGAATAGTCAGTCATAACACTTTGCAACATTACCTCCCCCCCCCTCCTCCCTCCTCCCTCAACACTTTGCAACATAATCGAGTATGCCCATAGATGATATGGTTTATGTAATAATCTAAGATGAGGTCTGATACAAGACCTTTTGTACCCTCTGTAATGCTTTTTGCGCTACCGCTCACAGGATGGGTATGGGGTGCACAATAAACTAGCCGCCTCCGCCGGCAACAATCAAAATCAATCGTTTCTCCATCTTCTGACATGTGGATTGTTGATTTGATTGTTGCCGCGGGAGGGGGCTAGTTTATTGTGCACCCCATACCCATCCTGTGAGCGGTAGCGCAAAAAGCTTTACAGAGGTCACAAAAGGTCTTTATCAGACCTCATCTTAGATTATTACATAAACCATTCCATCTATTCTTCACATCTTATAGTTACAATGTCAGCTAGTTACAGAGAAAGTGCTATTTCAAGAGCTATATATTTACAGTAAATTGTTATACATGGTAGGTCTTATCGCTAATACATAATAGTTTGATCAATGGGGATATTACAGAGTCATAGGGGAGCTGGTTGATACCTGGTTGATGGGGTTATGGGAGTTCTTCTACTCCCCAAGCCCGGCCCGAGGCCAGGCTTGACTTGTGAGTTTGGTCCACCAGGCTGTTGCTTGGAGCGGCCCGCAGGCCCACATACCCACCACAGCCCGGCTGATCCGGAACTTCTCTTAGAAAACTATTTAGTTTACTCTTCAAGATGTCCACGGTTGTTCCGGCAATATTTCTTATGCTCGCTGGGAGGACGTTGAACAACCGCGGACCTCTGATGTTTATACAGTGTTCTCTGATTGTGCCTATGGCACCTCTGCTCTTCACTGGTTCTATTCTGTATTTTCTTCCATATCGTTCACTCCAGTACGTTGTTATTTTACTGTGTAGATTTGGGACCTGTCCCTCCAGTATTTTCCATGTGTATAATATTTGATATCTCTCTCGTCTCCTTTCTAGTGAGTACATTTGGAGGGCTTTGAGACGATCCCAATAATTTAGGTGCTTATCGTGTCTATGCGTGCCGTATATGTTCTCTGTATTCCCTCTATTTCAGCAATCTCTCCTGCTCTGAAGGGGGAAGTGAGTACTGAGCAGTACTCAAGACGGGACAACACAAGTGACTTGAAGAGTACAACCATTGTGATGGGATCCCTGGATTTGAAAGTTCTCGTAACCCATCCGATCATTTTTCTGGCTGACGCGATATTTGCTTGGTTATGCTCCCTAAACGTTAGGTCGTCGGACATCATTATTCCCAAATCCTTGACATGCTGTTTTCCTACTATGGGCAGATTCGATTGTGTTTTGTACCCTGTATTATGTTTCAGATCCTCATTTTTGCCGTACCTGAGTACCTGGAATTTATCACTGTTAAACATCATGTTATTTTCTTCTGCCCAATCGAAAACTTTGTTAATATCTGCTTATAACTTTTAATGTCTTCAGCAGAGGTAATTTTCATGCTGATTTTTGTGTCAGCTGCGAAGGATGACACGAAGCTGTGACGTGTATTTTTGTCTATATCTGATATGAGAACAAGGAACAGCAGCGGTGCAAGGACTGTACCTTGAGGTACAGAGCTTTTAACTGTGCTCGGACTCGATTTTATTTGATTGACTGTTACTCTTTGTGTTCTGTTCGACAGGAAATTGAGTATCCAGCGTCCTACTTTACCAGTTATTCCCATTGACCTCATTTTGTGTGCTATCACCCCATGGTCACATTTGTCAAACACCTTTGCAAAGTCTGTGTATACCACATCTGCAGTTTGCTTTTCTTCCAGAGGTTCTGTGATTTTGTCATAGTGGTTGAGTAACTGTGACAGACAGGATCTTCCCGCTCTAAATCCATGTTGTCCTGGGTTGTGGATCCAACGTTCTAATGTCTGGCAGCGTCCCATATGCCGCTGATGTTACCCCGCCTGTGTGTGTGTATGCCTCCGGTGTAACTGTGGGACTCATATCCACTCCCAAATCTCTCAAATTCATGTAGTGGCCTTCGAGGACCCCTGACCTCCCTCTCACAAGTGTTAAGTGTCCATGTTTAACACTTAACACCATCAAAACACCTTAAATGTTAATATAATTTCAAGATTGAATAGTATTAGCAATGCATAACATAGTGAGCTGAGTGGAGCCTTACCGCGGGTGCTGGACGGGATGTGTAGGGGTTTAGGACGCTGCTGGTGCTGGTGTAGCTGGACCTCGCGGGCGTGGAGCCTCTCGCGGGCGTGCTGCTGCTGCAGCTCCCTGGTGGGCGTGGGCGTGGAGGAGTTATCTGACTCTGAGGACCCGCGGGTCTCGTTCCCACTGTCTGATCTGGACGCCATGATCTAGCGTTGACGGGCCTGCCTGTAGGGGGGAAGGAGACAGGTGTTACTACAGCAGGAGACAGGTGTTATTACAGCAGGAGACAGGTGTTACTACAGCAGGAGACAGGTGTTACTACAGCAGGAGACAGGTGTCACTACAGCAGGAGACAGATGTCACTACAGCTGGAGACAGATGTCACTACAGCAGGAGACAGGTGTCACTACAGCAGGAGACAGGTGTTACTACAGCAGGAGACAGGTGTTACTACAGCAGGAGACAGGTGTCACTACAGCAGGAGACAGGTGTCACTACAGCAGGAGACAGGTGTCACTACAGCAGGAGACAGGTGTTACTACAGCAGGAGACAGATGTCACTACAGCAGGAAATAGGTGTTACTACAGCAGGAGACAGGTGTCACTACAGCAGGAGACAGATGTCACTACAGGAGGAGACAGATGTCACTACAGCAGGAGACAGATGTCACTACAGCAGGAGACAGGTGTCACTACAGCAGGAGACAGATGTCACTACAGGAGGAGACAGATGTCACTACAGCAGGAGACAGGTGTCACTACAGCAGGAGACAGGTGTCACTACAGGAGGAGACAGGTGTTACTACAGCAGGAGACAGGTGTCACTACAGCAGGAGACAGATGTCACTACAGCAGGAGACAGATGTCACTACAGCAGGAGACAGGTGTCACTACAGCAGGAGACAGGTGTCACTACAGCAGGAGACAGGTGTCACTACAGCAGGAGACAGGTGTTACTACAGGAGGAGACAGGTGTCACTACAGCAGGAGACAGGTGTCACTACCGCAGGAGACAGATGTCACTACAGCAGGAGACAGGTGTTACTACAGCAGGAGACAATGTCACTACAGCAGGAGACAGGTGTCACTACAGCAGGAGACAGATGTCACTACAGCAGGAGACAGGTGTTACTACAGCAGGAGACAGATGTCACTACAGCAGGAGACAGGTGTCACTACAGCAGGAGACAATGTCACTACAGCAGGAGACAGGTGTCACTACAGCAGGAGACAATGTCACTACAGCAGGAGACAGGTGTCACTACAGCAGGAGACAATGTCACTACAGCAGGAGACAGATGTCACTACAGGAGGAGACAGGTGTCACTACAGCAGGAGACAGGTGTCACTACAGGAGGAGACAGGTGTCACTACAGGAGGAGACAGGTGTCACTACAGCAGGAGACAGGTGTCACTACAGCAGGAGACAGGTGTCACTACAGGAGGAGACAGGTGTCACTACAGCAGGAGACAGGTGTCACTACAGCAGGAGACAGGTGTCACTACAGGAGGAGACAGGTGTCACTACAGGAGGAGACAGGTGTCACTACAGGAGGAGACAGGTGTCACTACAGGAGGAGACAGGTGTCACTACAGGAGGAGACAGGTGTCACTACAGCAGGAGACAGGTGTCACTACAGCAGGAGACAGGTGTCACTACAGCAGGAGACAGGTGTCACTACAGCAGGAGACAGGTGTCACTACAGCAGGAGACAGGTGTCACTACAGCAGGAGACAGGTGTCACTACAGGAGGAGACAGGTGTCACTACAGCAGGAGACAGGTGTCACTACAGCAGGAGACAGGTGTCACTACAGCAGGAGACAGGTGTCACTACAGGAGGAGACAGGTGTCACTACAGCAGGAGACAGGTGTCACTACAGCAGATGTATAATAGTGCTAACCCTCCCTAGGATGATACACAGGAGCCTCCACAGGATCAAGAGTGACATATCACCTAAATAAGACTTAAGATATATCAGTCTCATCCTAAATTTGTGTTGATGAGACATATTCTTATAAACGATACAATAGAGAACAATTAGATATGAATACAATCATTTAGTGAGAGTTTACGGTTGATAGATTTTAAAGGTTTAGCGAGAGGGGAGTCTATCTGTACGAGGTGATTAGAGGCGTAACAACTGTGATGGGGTGTTATATAGAGGTCCAGTAGTTAACTGCTGTGGGTGCTGTGCCTGGTTCATAGCATGAACCCCGAAGAACTTAAACTGTTATTCACGCACACACACACGTGGGCGCGCGCGCGCGCGTGTGTGTACTCACCTATTTGTGCTTGCAGGATCCCGCCTTTCCAGCCATCGGTTTACAGCAATGACTCCTGTCCCATTTCCCTATTATACCTAATTTTAAAAGTATGAATAGAGTTTGCTTCCACAACCTGTTCCCCAAGTGCATTCCATTTTTCCACTACTCTCACGCTAAAAAAACTTCCTTCCTGTGTGTGTGTGTGTGTGTGTGTGTGTGTGTGTGTGTGTGTGTGTGTGTGTGTGTGTGTGTGTGTGTGTGTGTGTGTGTGTGTGTGTGTGTGTGTGAAAGGCTGTTAGAGAGAACTTTTTCAGTGTCAGAGTAGTTAACAGGGGAGAAATGATCATGTAACACGGGTTAGAGTTCCTCTCTCTACTTATCTACCTTCTACTCCCTCTACCCGTATTCTTACTTTTTATTCTCTACCAAGGGACTCCAAAACTTTTACCAAAGCCAACTCCACGCCACGTGGTCCTAAGACGATTGACCGACTTAGGATTCTACACCCAGTATGACGTGACCTAAGCTCTGAGCAAAACCCTAGAGTCGCCTCTACGCTGCCACCACCAGACCAGTAACACAAGAGCAATGATCGAGGTCTGGATCGATCACGCTAATTAATCAACCTTGGGGCTTGATCCCCACTATATACGATGACCTTGAGTGTGGAATAAATTACACGGTAATGATAATTCCGATTCGATGTTAGAATCGGCGCCCAATCCAACTTTACCTCGTGTGGACCACGTGACCAGGACAAGTATACACATAAAACACATGGAAACAATAAAAATGCAAATTATTAACTTAATTTATTAAAAGGAAACTAAAAGAAAAATCTAAATATGTTCACTCCCTGTCACTTTAACACTCCCTACTTGACCTGAGTGGCAAATGAGAAGACTATCCCTATAATTAACAATAGCAACTATACCTTGGGCGACCAGCTCTAGATGTTGGGCTGGTCTTGGGGAGAGGTAAGATGTTTGACCTCTTATCCCAGCTGCTCCCGTTTCCACACTGATCTCTCCCTTGTCTGGTCTACCCCAGACAGAGCATTGTATCCTTCCGCCTAGTCAGTCAAAGTTCTACCAAGTTACTAGCAAGGTTTAAGTTATAACAATTAAACTCTGTTGTACTTAATTGATCCAGACTGGTTGAATTATTTTACTGAAATTAAATTACACAAGCCTCTAACGGCAGAGCTGTTCCCGATCACAAAAATGGTTATTAAAACTTTGAGAAATAGTAGACCTGTCAACCCTGCTGACCTATGACCGCCGGTCACTCCGCCTTACAAGTTAGATCTGATTCGTGACGTCACTGATGGTGACTTAAACTCAATAATTAGAATACTCTTGATATTGTATCCAGTACTATTATACAATACAATTTTAATGCAAAATGAATAAAGGCTAATTTCTCAAAATTACTGAATACTATAGGATGGTTCATTATACGCAGCTATGAACAAAGCGTCGGTTATTTCCACCGCGAATTCCCCTGGGGTCAGAGTCCCAGGTCACCATGCGGGCTCAGCTTCCCATTCTCTTTTGTCGATAAACCACTCTGGATAATTCTTACAACAGCCTAGTTTGTTACAATCACAACCTACAAAATCCCCAGAGGAATCGACCGGGTAAACAAGGATAAACTATTCAACACGGGTGGTACGCGAACAAGGGGACACAGGTGGAAACTGAGTACCCACATGAGCCACAGAGACATTAGAAGGAACTTTTTCAGTGTCAGAGTAGTTAACAGGTGGAATGCATTAGGCAGTGATGTGGTGGAGGCTGACTCCATACACAGTTTCAAGTGTAGATATGATTGAGCCCAGTAGGCTCAGGAACCTGTACACCAGTTGATTGACGGTTGAGAGGCGGGACCAAAGAGCCAAAACTCAACCACCCTCTGCAAGCACAACTAGGTGAGAACACACACACACACACATCTGGTTGATACCTGGTTGATGGGGTTCTGGGAGTTCTTCTACTCCCCAAGCCCGGCCCGAGGCCAGGCTCGACTTGTGTGAGTTTGGTCCACCAGGCTGTTGCTTGGAGCGGCTCGCAGGCCCACATACCCACCACAGCCTGGTTGGTCCGGCACTCCTTGGAGGAAACAATCTAGTTTCCTCTTGAAGATGTCCACGGTTGTTCCGGCAATATTTCTTATGCTCGCTGGGAGGACGTTGAACAACCGTGGACCTCTGATGTTTATACAGTGTTCCCTGATTGTGCCTATGGCACCCTCTGCTCTTCACTGGTTCTATTCTGCATTTTCTTCCATATCGTTCACTCCAGTATGTTGTTATTTTACTGTGCAGATTTGGGACCTGGCCCTCCAGTATCTTCCAGGTGTATATTATTTGGTATCTCTCTCGTCTCCTTTCTAGTGAGTACATTTGGAGAGCTTTGAGACGATCCCAGTAATTTAGGTGTTTTATCGCGTCTATGCGTGCCGTATATGTTCTCTGTATTCCCTATATTTCAGCAATCTCTCCTGCTCTGAAGGGGGAAGTGAGTACTGAGCAGTAGTCGAGACGCCTATGTGAGGCCAGTCGTAAGAGTATACCGACCCATCATTGAAGCCCCACCTTAAAAAACACATAAGGAAGCCCGAAAAGGTGCAGAAGTTTGCAACAAGACTCGTCCCAGAGCTGCGAGGGATGAGGTACGAAGACAGACTGATGGAACTAAACCTGACCACGTTAGAAAGGAGGAGGAGGGAGAGGAGGAGACATGATACAGATGTATAAAATACTTAGAGGGATTGACAATAACAACAGAACAAGGATGCACGGATGGAAGCTTGAGACTCAGATGTGTCATAGAGATGTTAGAAAGTTTTCCTTTAACGTGCTTGAAGTGAGTAAATGAAATGACCTAAATTAGCAGGTTGTAGAGCCTAACACCATCCATAACTTTAAAAACGAGAATGATAGAGACATAAGCCAGGAG